AATTAAAAGCGATAATCTTTTGAATCTAATCGTGTTTTTCTTATTATATAAGGAAGGAAAGTATTATTTAGTCGTATCACTGAAACATCTGGGTTACACGATGCAGATTCATACCCTAAATCCTAATCGGTCGCGTGAAATGGGTAAAAGTAAAACAAAGCTCTCTACGTGGTTACGTTCTGGCGTAATTGAGAAAAACATCAAGCATAGTCTCGACTTAACTTTAGACGCTTGCCCTCTCGGTATTTCTCGTAGGTCACTCCGTGACACGCCATATATGACACGAACTTCCGTCAAACATGTCAAGCCCATAATACGTTGTTCGAAAGCAAAAGTCGTCTACAACTTCTACCTCCTCTGGACGGTCCAAACGGACTATAGTTTTTAATAAGTCGTGTTTGCAATCATCCACCAGGTATTCTGAAACTATCAACCACAACAATATCAGAACTACTCGTGAATCTTCTCCACCAATTAAACAAGTTTTTCTTTTAATGAGAATGAACAAGGAGCGATCGTCGAATCTCTTATTAATTCCGCAGAGAAAGCAACTTACGAATTTCTTGTCAAAAATGAATTTAATTCCTTCAGAAATCGTAAAAAAATCCGTGGCTAAACAATGTCCTCCTATCAGCAACGACTTTAGTAATGCGGATCTTTTGTGCATGTTAAACTTTATTATAGAAAATATATTAAAATTTTCTCAAGAAAGTCTTTATTCCATGGTAACCATAAGGCGAACCCTGCTGAATTATTAACAAAATTTAAAAAGAACGCAAGGAACAAGATTGCCCATGGAATTGTGATTAACGAAAAGGGACGATGGAGTGATCATTCACTTCAAGAGGTCTCTATCTTGGCTTGGAAGTCATCATTTGTCTCGGTGAGTTGATTATGAAATTGATGAGAAAAACAATTTGTTTTTAAACTAATTTTTAAATTAACATTAGGTGGAAATTACGAAGTAGCACTTTCTAACAAGGAAAATATTGATGAAGAAATAGTTAGACGATTGGTTAATAAAGATTTGCAAAAAAGAAAGTTAGATGAAGTACTTGGTGATAAAGAGAATCTTAACGCGCCATAAAAAAGAAGACTTGACAACCCGAATTTTGGAAAAATGATTGAGTTCGTACTTAATACACTTGAAGAGTTAGAAGAGACAGAGAAGGGAAGTAAGAAAAAGATATTAGAATTAGCAATGAATGACAATGAGTATATGACAAAGTTCTTGGAATCAATAAGGACAGAAGAGAGAAAAGAGCAAGTCCGTAGGTTTATTCAATTTACGAATTTGATGTTTGAAGTTGTAAGTATAAAAATTTTGTATTTTTTATTGCATGATAACCTGTATAGAAGTTAATGGCTTTGCCTGTTTTTTTATTTACAGAACTTAAAGACGAAGAATTAAAATAAGAGGTATATGGTGGATATAATGATTTATGAGTTGGTAGTATGGCATGGGAAATAAGTTCTCGCACAATTTTTAAGTCGTATCAAAAAGAAAGATAAAATCTTCTCTTGGTATGCAGTGCAACTTAGTCTGAGAGTAATTTTGTTTGCTCTTGGGGTAGGTTTAAATCGGTAGGGCCTAGAGACGTGATTGTGATCACTGGTAGTGATTACAAACATTCTGAAAAAATGTAGTTACTCTATTTGTCAGGGTGTAGTCTCTAGGTTTTTACCGGACTCTGGTGGCTTGGCAGAGGATAAACGAAGCTCCTTATTTCGAGTGCCATCTGCAAACTTGTTTTATTAACATTTCTAACCATATACATCTTCACTTTTCAGAACAGGAAACGATGGTATCATCCCCTTTGAACGTTTGTCTAAATAACAGATAAGAAGATTTTCTATCTTTGAAAATTATGCGTGATCATTATCTTCAATGTCTGTATGATGTATAGGTGGATTGAAAAACTTTTGTCAGCGAATTTAAATAATTACTCCAATAATTATTACATTAATGTCAAGTATTTTTTTCTAGCCTAAAACATTTTTACTATTAGTAAGATTGAATCATTTATTTACTTGGGTAAAAATTATAGCGTAAAATATTTTTAGTATTGGAAATAAACTGATGGTTACCATATGATCAAAATTCTAATAAAGACTTAAGCGTAATATTATATTTTCAAACTTTCAAACCCAATAAATATCATGTATAGTTATATTATAACGAAGATGTAGTGGTACTTGGTTAGAGGGTTACATGGTTTTTGTGCGATTATTGTATATACATGTTAGATTTTTTTATTTTCCATGCGCAATATATTAATAAAGCTGACCCTGGTGGGTCGATTTCATATATACAGTAATTGCGTTTATTTTTGCATAAGTATAATCAAGATTTTTTGAATTTTTCTTCTTCGTGTATTGTATATGTGTAAGCAATATTTTTTTCCGGAATAATTTTCTTGGCACATCCTATATAAAACAATGGCAAACATGCAGATCCAAAGGGACGAATCTAAAGATTCATCTAAAATCGATTCATTAGAAAAACGGAATTCCAAGCTTGTAGCCGAGATTACTGAACTTAAAAAGGGAGAAGGTCGAATTCTTAGCTAAAGAAGCGGATTTATGGCTAGAATTATGGAACTAGAACAAAATGCTGAAAAGGCAAAGATAAGAGATAATGAGCTCAGTACTAAAATTGTGGAACTAGAACGGTCGACAAAAGAAAGTGAAAAACGATTTGCGAAATTGGAACAGAAGGTTATCACTAATGAACAGGAAGTATCCCCGCAAAAAATATTTCACCACCTATTGAAGATCAGTCTAGTAAAGATAATGGTACTATTCTCGATCCCATGTCTGAACATAATTCGACCCAGACCCAAAGGAGAGAATCTAAATCTCTAACAGAGCCTGAATCGTCTATTACCTCTTTGCCACAAGATGTTATTGATGACAATACAGCCGAGACTCTAGATTTTGTAGAAACGGTTTATAAGGAACAGGTCAGTAAAGAGATAATGGAGAGAATTAGGGAGAAAAAACTTCGAGATCAAAACCTATCTTCGGATAATACTTCGTCATGTGATGTAAAAAACCGTTTCCCAGGGAAACGCTCAAATTCATGTGGAAACTCGAAGCTCTGCTTCTCCTACTCCACAGACGGAGTTGCCAAATTTTCCGGAAAATGA